AATTTAGCTTTCCTTTCCCTAATTATCCCCGCTTATATAATCCTGAAAGGATAATCAGGCCGAACCATCACCCATTTTTTCCCATTTTACCCATTACCCATTTCATTTCACCGCAAAGAAGCCGACTCCTCATATAAAAATGTCTTTCTATCCCTACTTCCTTCCTCACCCATTCAAAATCCAACGTATATATACATAAAACACCAATATCTCCGTGGCACTCTCAACACGACACGTAAGAATGGCACAATTACATAGAAGACAAACACTTTAAGCCCTGAAGATCTCAATAAAGATCGAAACGTTGGCATGATAAAGAAAATATTTTTCTGAAACCTACATCACACCAGATCGCATCTCACGATTTTTGAATAATTTAAACAACGTTTATAAATCCCAGGCCCTGAAGATGATCTCAATAAAGATCGAAACGTTGGCACGATAAAGAAAATTTTTTCTAAAACCTGCGTCACACCAGACCGCATCTCACGATCTCCAAATAATCATTACCTAATGGTATCTAAACACTACATACAACACACAAGTTGCATATATTGTAATACTACCACATACGACCGAGCAAATCAATTATCTATCTAAATCATGAATCTAGGAAGCCGTAGGTTACATTTGATAAAGCATATTTTTGCATATTTGAATAATATCGCATAAAATTGTATATTTGAACAATATATGCAGTATATAACAATATTTGAAGGTTTTTTTTAACGTAAAATCGCATTTATCGCGCAAAATATTTAAAATAGTATATTGGATTTCGGATGAGGGATAAAAAAGTTATGTTAAAAAAATAAGTTGACGAAAAGTTGGTTTAATTCGAAGAAAACTGAAACAGGCCGCAACGACGGGAAGAGAAAAATCTAGAAATACCAACCAAAGAATATAAAACCCCTTCTTAGGTCTTATTCCAACATTCTCGAAAATTTTAAGTGACCGTAGGCGCTATATCACGGAAGACTTAGAGAAGTACTTGTTTATTAACATTAATTAGACTCAATTAGTATAAAATATATAATTTAATTATGTAAGTGAGAAAATATTTGTATTAAATCAAAATAAACTCTAAATACTTGTGAATTTTAATGTTAATTTTTAATTTGTTTTAAAGAGTTTTTATATCGATTTCGTTTAATTACCTATATTTCTGTTTAAAGTTATTATGATAGTAAAAAAACTTGTTTACTGCATATCATTGCATATTTTAACGTATTAATACTGCATATTATTGCACATTCCAAGGCTTTTAACTGCATATTTTATGGCATATTTTGGCATATTGTTACTGCATAAAAATCCGGTCTCTAGCTATAACAGTCCTTAAAGGCTTATTGTTGTTTGTTTTGTGTAAAATTGTAAGATGCCAGAAGTTAATAAAAAAGGAAAATTATTCAACACTTTCATTCAAAATTCTATTTATGCACTCGAAAAGTACTAACAAATGACACGTTTCAATTTGTGCCGACATGCCTAAATTGTATCCTAACGTCTAACAGCCTACAACTTTATAGGATAGGGGATGTATCTACTATGAATAAGAGTACAAGGACAGGTCAGAAATTAACAAAAGAAATGTATTGGTCTGATCTAATTAATGCGTACTGACAAATGAAAATACGTTTCAACAAAAAACAGCTGTTAAGTTCATTGCTGACATGTTGGTTACCTACCGGCTAACAGTGTGACCACAACGCTATTCCATTCGACTTACGTCTAACATATTTCGTGGTCTGATTGGCCAAATATCTTCTTTCAATTAATTAATCTTTTTATGGAAGGTTTTGGTCTGAGATGAAAAGTTAGTGTCACGAGGTTCGAACCCACGACCTTCGGCTAATACGCCGCTGCTGTACCACTTGATGAGCTATCGTGACTTCGATCCACTCGGACACCAACTTCCCATCTCAACCCCACCTTTATTTTCCCTCCTTTTTGCCATTTTTCAAATGTCATGTAATCAGGATTCGATTCTCGGCCATATATGGAGTGGCCACGGGGAGCTGTTAGTGAAGATATACTTCGTTTTACTTATTGAACCCATTATATTTCGTGGTCTGATTGACTAAATTACTTCTTTCAATTAATTAATCTTTTAATGTAAGGTATTGGTTGAAATGAAAAAGTTAGCGTCACGAGCGGGATTCGAACCCACGACCTTCGGCTAACATGTAACGTTGGCCCTACCATGTTAGATCGAGCAATGTTAAGGTGGAGTGAGTTTGTCGTTCAGTCATTACAAAAAACGATAGTTCCTACACACTGTTGTTTTCAACGATCCGGATTTCAAGCTTATAGGTCATCGTCAGGTTGAAGGAATTTACAACCACGTCGATAAATCAATTAACGAGTTTTAACATACAGTCTAGAACCAAATGAAATCAGCAGCCTTTTTTGGGTACATGGCTGAGAAGAATCCACTGGTGTCAGTAGTTGTGGGTTTTCTATGTACGTATATTTTGATTAGGTTGATATGATATGGTTGAGTTTTAAGATTAAAAGGTTTAAACAACCATCTTTATTAATTTCCAATGTAAAATTTATACTACGGTGTAAAGAATTAATTAGTTAGAGGATTTCTTTTAGATCCTCTAATGTTCCGGACCATATATACAAAATATCGTCTACGTACCTGTTTTGGGGGAAGGGGACGACAAATGTGAGAGGTTCAATCAATTACCCCAAATAATGATAAAAACAAACGAAGAAATAAACTAAAATAAAACCAATATGGCGGTATTGGGAGAAATTAAGAAAGGAAAGGTGATTGATTAATAAAGTATATAATTCGTATGGCATCAAGATCAAGGCTGGTTGGAATTCTCAAGGCGATTCTGAATGATTAAGAGCGAGAGAGAGAGAGAGAGAGAGAGAGAGAGAGAGAGAGAGAGAGAGAGAGAGAGAGAGAGATAAAGAGAACAAAAACTTCCGAAACTTCACGAATTGTAACTTCTAGCCATTTCTGTATTCGATTTGTCTTAAATAGCTGTTTAACACTATGGAAAAATTATAAGTTCCCTGTCTTCCAATCTTCCCATTCGGAACAAAATTTTTGGGGAGTTCGATAGTTGATTATGTGTTGTGTACTGTGGAGGAAGTTGTTTTGTGTAGTTCTGGGTTACAATTGTTTATGATTCTGTTGATTACGTCTTCTCTCAGTTATGTCAACAATGTTTAAGTTTTACGTCATTGTAAGTGAGAATAATAAGGAAGAAATCAACAAAATCTGGCCGAATGATTTATTTTATTTCTCCAATTTTAATTTAATTACATACGTTATATGCTATTACGTGTCGTTTGTAAGCTACTAAAAGCCTTTAAAGTTTTCAGTGGATCAGTTAAATATTTTAAAAGTTATCTCTATTTTTTATATGTTTTGACATAGAATCGTAGCCATTTTACAAGGCAAAAATTTTAATAATAAAAAATTTTTGTTTTCTTAAAAACTTAGTATCCAGGGGTATTTTGGGACGCGAAAACCAAATATAAAGTTTTTGGTGCTGAAAACTATTTTAACGTAGTTTTCTACGTCTCTAGACCTCCGATTATGTACTTTATAGGTAGCCGGTTTCAACTCGTCTGCCACTTAGTGCTGAAGATGTTGCGTGTGGTGTGGCACTTATTGATGATGGACGTTCCATCAGGTATTGACATCGGAGTTCCCTATAAAACTGCGAGACGCCGTTAAACGTTTTTGAGAAACTGGGTCCTTCCATATGACGTCCGGTGCAGGACACCCTAGAGTAACAGAACCACAGGATGACCGTTTTTTGGCTTTGAGAATTTTGCGAAACCGGCACCTTACTGTTGTTCAAGCGATTCAATAACTCCAGGAAATACGAGGAGTCCAAATCGCTGAGCGCTCTTCTCGAAGAAGATTAATGGACTGATGGCTTTTCGCCCCGTAAGAGGACCAAAATTAAGTTGCACGACTCGCATTTCTCGAAAACAACAGAGCCTTTGGTCTTTGGACGGTTGGTCTACTGTAATTTTTACAGATGAGTGTAGATTTGCTCTACGATCTCCAGATGGACTGGAAAGAGTGTGAAGAAGGCGAAATAAAAGATACGAAAGCTTCAAGCAATTTCAATGGAGGCGCACAGAGCTAATTCTGTTATGTTGTTCGTGGAGTGGCTTTGACGGCCACTCGCTATGTAGATCAAATTTTGAAAAATCATGCGTTGCCTATCCTCGATGAAATCAGCGACAATCCTATTCTAATGCACGATAATGCCCGTCCGTATGACGCTCGCATTGTACAAACCTTGAACATCATAACATCAGGGTCTTAGCCTGGCCAGCCCTTTCTCCAGACTTGAACCCCAATCGAACATTTATGGGATAACCTCAAAAGACGAGTAAGAGTACGTCCATCACTTCCTGATACTCTCCATGATCTAGAAAGGAGTCTTCGTGAAGAATGGGCTAACCTCCTGCAAAGAGATTTCCAGACTCGTAGAAAGTATGCCGAGGTGTCTGAGGTGTAATTTGGGCAAGAGAATGAAATACGCGATATTGGCATGTCAATTAAAAATTTAATTAAAATAAACTTTATCTGTCCGTCTATTTTTTTTCAGATTTCTTAGCAATTTACTTTTTTTGTACGTTTTTTAGGCAAAGACTCAGTTATTAAACATTAAAAAACGTGAAAACTTTATTAATATATAAAAATATATACAAATGAAGTTATGTTACAATTGGGTGAGATTTTTTCCCTGTCAGTGTGTTATGGAATAAAATATAAAATGGTGTCATTTATGAAGTAATGTTTTGGTAAAACCGAGTAAGTAGGTTGTTCCAAGTCTGAAAGTCGGTACTTGGCTTTTTCAAAGGTTTAAAAACAAAAGAGGAAATTTTCAGAAACAGAGTAATTCGCCCTCAATCTTTATTAGTCGGGCGAGGGTAAGGATTGGGGGATTGGTAGAGTAAATATTTCCTCTGTGTGTGCCAGGGTGGAAGGGGTGTAAAAGGCGGGGTCTGCCCCGTCGCCGTGGAAAGGGGCGTAGCCACCCCCTCCAGGACTTTCGCCTTTCTGCCGACTCCTGCGGAGACTGTTTTCAGACTGTGATGTGTTCGAAGGAGAGTAGCAGCTCTTCGTCCCCGGTGGGCGTCTACCCGCTGGTTGATGTCGACCAGTACAGGCTACAGCTGTACCAGTACGCCGTGGCGGCACAGAGGCTCGGCTACCCACAGTACTCGGCCGGCTACCACCCCCGGCTCGCCCTTTCGCTCCTCACCCCGAGAGGGATGGTGCCGGAGGAGCCCAAGCCGCAGCACAGCTACATCGGGCTCATCGCTATGGCCATCCTAAGCTCGCCGGACTTTAAGCTAGTCCTCTCGGACATTTATCAGTACATACTGGACCATTACCCGTACTTCAGGACAAGGGGGCCGGGCTGGAGGAACTCCATCAGGCATAATCTCTCACTCAACGACTGCTTCGTCAAAGCGGGGAGGAGCGCCAACGGCAAAGGCCATTACTGGGCCATACACCCGGCCAACGTCGAAGACTTCAAAAAAGGAGATTTCAGGAGGAGGAAGGCCCAAAGAAAAGTGAGTTTTCATATTTAATCACACAATATTATTTCCCACTAATACTATTTAAACAACAATACACTATTTCATATTAAAAATAGTACAAATAACAACCTCACAAGATCACCTACTGACAGAATAAACAATAATAAAAAAATAGAGCTCAATAGTTGAAAATGATGGTTCTATCCGCAAACTGGTTTTTGCATATGATCCGGATTTCAAGCAGTAATGTTAGTGGATACAAATAAAAGCCCTGTTTTCTCCAAAAATCAGGACAGCCTTGCTCAAACACAATTCTAATCGGGTCGCATTCCTACACGCACGCTATATAGAACCAAAAACTAACACCTTTCATCTTTTAATGCTCGAAATGCGGACCTTTCACAAACCGATCTGTAAGTAGAACCAGCTTTTATCATATCGGTCTTCAAAATTATAATTATATATTGCAAAAACGATCAGAGATGAGGCCAATTGGAAAGTAATATGGGGAAAAAGGATTGGGAGGGTAAATATTTTCCCTGGGTGTGCCAATTTCATTCTACTTAAAACTGTAGATTTCAAAATTGTAAATTGGGTAGCATTCTTACACGCACACTATATGGAACCAAGGACTAACACACTTCAGTTATGTGGGATATATTAGTTTGTTGACAAAATGTTAATTGCACAGTCTGTCAATGAGCTTTTAAAGCTTGAAATCCAGACCTCTTCAAAAACCGCTTTGTAAGTAGAACCAAGCTTTTATCCTATTGAATCAACAACCCGAAAAATTACAGCTTTTAACACCATTTCCATTATTGGTAAAAAGGAAGTGTAATAAGCATGACATAGTATGAGATTTAACATAATTAATTAAACAACTTTACAAACAATTAGCGATCAAACTTCAAAATTATAATTATGTATTGCAAAAACAATCAGGGATGAGGCCGATTGGAAAGGAATGCGGGGGGAAAAGGATTAGGAGGGTAAATATTTTCTCTGGGTGTGCCAATTTCATTCTACTTGAAACTACAGGTTGCAAAATTGTCAAAAATGTCCACATTTATTCATCTTTTAAATTTTTAATTAAAATTTTAAAATCCTGACAAGAGATTATTTCACGAAGGAACTGTGACTCTGATAGGTCTGTTTTTTTTAATATATAACAACCCTTATCTGTTTTATATAAAAAGAACAAATATTTGCTGACAACTAAATTTTAAATAATGCTCTGTGCCTTGTACTTCTTGTTTCGATGCTTTATTGTTACCTTTTATATTAAACAAAATATATATAATGTGATAAAAGATCTGTTTTATTTATATCGATTTTATCAGCGGATTTATGTTCAATATTATAATGTGAAGATTCTAACAACAGGTGGAAAAAATTTGAAAAACCCAAATAATGAACGAACAGGTGTAAACTTTTATAACCCAGCCGAACTTCATAAATAATTATTATTGAAATACATGATTAGTTTTTTGATGGATTGATCTGTTATAAGCTCAATTCTGCTCACGTTTGTTCAGCAGAATCGATCAGCCGTCTCACATTAGGCATTCACACTAATAAATAAATACACCGCTCAATATACACAAAAGTGAATACACAATGAGATTCAGTACTATTACAATAAAATAACCCAGAATTTTTTTCGAAAATCGGATCCAAATACTCTCACCCGACATGCTCTCTATACAGAGCCAAGAAATGGCAACTTTCACATAATTATTACAGGGACACATTATTATTTCATTTTAAACATTATTAAGTATTAAGACTTGTTATGAGTCGAGCAAAATTAATATATCGAATATTGAATTGCAGTTAAATAAAGTAATAAATTACTATTTAGCCTAATATTTTGTGCAAAATGGGTTAATGTAAATTTTCTAAAACAATTTTAAGTTTCAACAAAATTATATTTTCTAAGAAAATTTAAATTATTTTAAATAAAACTATATTTCCTAAAACTATTTTATATTATCTTAAAAAAATTATATTACCTAAAAAAAAATTAATGATTTTTCACAAAATAAATATTTTCTACAACAATTTTAAGTTGTTTTCAATAAACTTATTTTCTTTAAAAAACATTAAGTTGCTTGCAACAAAATTATATTTTCTAAAACAATTTTGACATTTTCAACAAGATTGTAGTGGTGTGGCGGTATCTGGCCGGCAAAGCAAAAAAAAAAAAAATATATATATTTATATATATATAATATATATTGTCTAAAGCAATTAAAAATTAAAATTTGTATGGAATTAAGCTTTTTATAAACAAATAAACTCAATGGAAAAGGGTAAAAGCAATTCTTCTATTAAAAAAAAGGTTTTGTTATACTATTATACCACTTGATTTTAAATAAATGTAAAATCATGGTAAACGTAAAACATTTCTTACATTTGGTCATATCAATATTGCTTTGTATATTTTTCATTTGACACTTCTAATTTCTAACTAAAATATTTGCAACAATTACCCTCGCTTGTTTTGTAGATATTCTTGTTTTATTTATATTATTTTTTTATTATGCTTTTTTAAACGGGGTTTGCAAAAGCAGAGGTCATATCAACCCGCAGAGTTTTTTAATAAAAGTTCACACTCAATCAGAGTCTTCCTACACGCTCTCTATATAGAGCGACATAATGACACGTTCAATTTAGTTGGATATATATAGTAATAAATTACTATTTAAACTTAATACACGGTTTTTAAAGACATTCTTGTTTTATTACATTTATTGTTACACGTCTACTAATTCAGGGCCTTCTTACACGATCTCTATATGCAGTTAAAGAATGACACCGTAAAATTAAGTGGGATATATTATTAGTTTATTTAAAAAATTATTAAGTTGGTTTTATTAGTCAAGCAAAATTAATAGATGAATTGTTGTTTTACAGTTGTAATACAAACATAATGTTTCCTGCTCGTGACACTATTTTTTTCTTCTCAACGACACTACATAAAAATCAATTTAAATAGAAAATAAATTACTACTAACATATTATTCTGTGCAAAATTGGTTAAATTATATTTTTCTTGAACAATTTTAAATTTTATATAAAGTGATTTTATATATATTTTGTCATTTAACAAATTAATTTGTGTATTGTTTAATCTACTTCGGCACCGTTTTTTATTTGACACCCTGATAAAGCACAATAGGCGAAAATGGAGCTAAACGAACACATCCTAATGACTCCAGCCAAAACAATTTAATTACCCACATTTTAGAATATTTTAACAACTTTATAAATGATTTTTTGTACATATTTTAGTTTTATTTTATTTATTATTTCTTTGTTTTTGATAAAAAGTCCGTTTTGATTCAATTCAATATGATATTCGATCAGGGCCGGTGAGATTCGAACCTAGGACCGTTACCTAGATGCACCACCGTGTCCAAACACCCCCTCCTTGTTTTATTATTATTAATTACATGCTAAAAGATATGCAAACCGTTTTGCAATAAACTCAAACGTGATAAAATAAAAGTAAAATATTTGACAATGATTGATCTAGCTACTGGTTTTCCATTGATCCGGATTTCTAGCTGAAAATGCTCATCAGACTATACAATACCATATTTTTCGAATTATTAAATATACTCGTTCAATCATATCAGTTTTTTTATTACTAAAGAAGAAGAATTTTAGTTTTTAATTTTTAAGAAAATCAGCCTTCAAAGTAATGTAAAATCGTACATATAGTAAATTTTAAAATGTATTCCAACTTGTATCAGTAATTAGACTTTCACCCCGAAGGGTTGTCTCCTCGATGTGATCTGCTCCATAGATTAACCTACCCTATTATATGGCTGGTTCGCTAGTATCTTTCTTAAGCCAGATGCCCAGGAGATCGTCACGTCCCTACCAACATGGTAGCCTCCAATTCACCCAAACTGTAATCTAGCCTAAAACTGACTTCCATAAGTCAGTCGCACAAATAAATACATTCACGCTTATTATATATTGCGCTCTGTTTAATCGATGGAGTACTCGATCGACCTATACCCAATATTAATAATCTAAACTAAATTAGGGTCGATGGGGTAATTTTATAAATATCCGCCATCCTAAACAAACACTGCTGGTAACGCTATACTTCACCATAAGCTCCTCACTACTCACACTAATAAATACACGTACAAACAAAACACAATAAAAAATATTAAAAAACATGTCCTCCAAAAAGTGGAACAAGGGACCAGAAAACTCGCTCCGAGCCCTAGAACCATTCTTAATCCGGTGGCATGCCTACACGCTCTCTATAAGGAGTTGTACCCTTAATTATTTATTATAATGCCTAATTTCAGTTCAACGTCGATAATAGACCTAGGAAACTGAACAATTCTTTTACTTTATAAAGCGATGCAATGTTGAAAATGGTTAATCATCATATTCATCCTCCCTGTCTTCTTCTAACTTTATTATTAATAATTACATATGTTAACTTGAAAGACTAAGTCACTGAACAACTTTGCCGAAAGTGTCTGAATGTACGTGAAAAACCCTAAAAGAAATGTCAAAAATCTTTAGTTTTGTTGACTGCGACTTTCACAACTGTTTCATTTTATTTGAGGTTTGTTTTCACCTGTTCAGGAGTTCACTTGTTTACTTTTTTTTACTAGAAAGCCCGTAATTAACCTGATAGATATTTGATTAGAGTTAAATTATAATTAATGTAGAAAAAATTAACATCGACTGGTTCGAAAGATTTTATATTGTTAACCGTGTAACTCATTAAAAATTGTTCCAAAGTCCTGATGAAGGGGATTCTTCCAAAGCATGACGAAGGATTCGCGTTACTCTGATTTTTAATTTTTTTTTTTTTTTTAGACAAATATTTTATATTTCAAAATCAGTCGGTTTGACACTCAAAGATGGCTTTCATCAGGCTCACAATATGACAGTAATAAATGTCCATATATCAGTCCACTCTATAATGTCCAAAATTTCTTAGTCAAATTCAGCAATTTTACAATTTTTAATAAATTTTTCTATGAAAAACAAATACTGTGTGCGGACATACAGACATGTACAGAATTGACCTTATTACGTTTCCTATAAAGGATGTATCTCCTTGTTTAGAACTGGAAGAAAACTAGTAGCTTTATTATTTTATGCCTAATAGCTCAATGTATAAATAGCAATAAAACCCGGTCCGTTTTGGGCTCTTACATATCCAGAAATCATAAAAACTTGATAACAGAACACAAAAAGTCAGCGAGTTGGTGAACTCATGCTGAGCCGGCACTGGCTCCGTCTACACTCGCGCGTTTTGATGTTACCCCAGTGCGTTCGGCTTTTCATCTTCAGTGAGGAACTGCTCAATAATTGCTATTCCAAAGCCGATGTTTTTATCGAATGTATGAGAGAATTGAGAATTGGTATTTTGAAATGTATTTTAAATTTGCATATCAGATTTGGATAGTGAGGAGTTGGCGAATTTGTGTCGGTCCGGATCGTAAGTCGGACGCGTTAATCTTAGAACATTCTGAACTGTCCTCCGAAGGTCTGTGATCGCTTGCATGCTCCTATCTTCTTCCTTTTCCAGCCGCGCGTATCTCGAGGAGTTCCAACAAAAAAAAGTTAATCGTTAAACCTTTCTTATCCTTATCCGGATCATCGGCATAGTCGATTAATGTTCCTTGCCTTTTGCGCTCAAGAGTCAGGTAGGCATAGAACGACTCTGAAAAGCTCGCTACGAATTCCGTTAACAGCCGTCGGCAGTGAGTTCTTTCTCCTTCTCTACAATCCAAAAACCGGCTTCAATCTTCAGGACAGTAAAGTAGATATCGAAACTGACTTCCTCGTCCAACCCGTCGGCTTTTACCGGTAATTGGTAGCTCCGCTTAAAACCTGAGAGGTCTTCGTCGAGGCGAGCGAAAATCCTTGGCTTGATTATAGCAGTACCCGCTGTATTTCTCCTTTCCATCAAGTAGGTTCTCAGCGTACACCAATTTTTCCGCAAGCAGTACCCATAGATCTTTACCAGGCACTACTTCCTAAACCCGGCGGATTTATTACATTATAACGCCCAGAGACAAACTTGGAGAGGTCAAAGAGGTCACATTGCTTTTATATTAGCTCCAATCCATACACATATGTACAGAACTTTCGGGGATTTGGCAGTCAAGTCAGGTCATTTTATCCCCCAACGCATGCAGTTATACCTTTCTTTCTATAAGTTCTTTCCTATTTACATACCTTCACTCTTTTACACATCCTATGAGGGTCAATTCTCGCTAATAAATCACAAAATGCTGTATCTATCAAGTATTATATGCAATAAAATAGCCGTACAACAAAACTCGAAATAAGCGATTCGCGACTCAAGCGCGGTTCTCATATCGGGTGGCATTCATGCACGCTCTCTATACAGATCCCAAGGACCCTTCAATTTGGTGGGACGAACAACCTTTCTATACGTGGGGATCATACGTGGTCTTTGGCGCAAAAATAAGTTTCTGTGTATTAACCTCGTATGGCCTATCCTTAATCGGGTTAGGATGATCCATCTTTTACTATTCAGATCCTGCGAGGGCCAACTAATCGACCTTGATACTTAGGACTCTCTCTAGTGATACACCGATGCTGCCATCTCCTTTAAATTATATTTTTATTGCATTTTTAGTGTCTAGATGGCGATAAATCATCAAGTACAGGACTTGTTCAGACGCGTTCATTTTACATTTTCTACCCGTTTACTATAAATACAAATATATACCTTTAGTTTATAAATATGTATAATGTTCAGCACAAATACAAAGTTAACTTAACTTGGTTATGTCAAGTTTTCTGATCCACGAAGGATGATCTTGTCCTTCAATGACGAGGAAAAAGGACAACACAAATGAGAATAAGGCTACCATTTATCTCGTGGAGGGAAGACTATTAACTTAAACACCATGTGAAGATGACCTAAGAAGCCCCAATAAGACAGCAAGCGCTTCTTATACAGAAAAATTGGGTGTCGCACAGAACCCAACAGGTTCTCAAATCGACCTTAACAGTTTCACTGTCCTCTCCTCGAAAGGTCGACGAAGGAGTGTCTTTCTTCAAACGCTCGGTTTTGTCGACCCCGAGTGTCATGGGTTCTATTCCCACCGTCGCCCCTGGAATTTCTGACCCCGACCTCTTAAAAATATTTTGATCATTGTTTAGTAGCAATAGCATGAAAACATAAAGCCATACAACACACACACACACACAGACACCTGAGAGAATTAACAAAAACCTTCATTTTGGTATGCCAATGATCGTCGTCTTGGTCATTTTGCCATCTTAGGTGTTCTGTTTTTAATGTAATTTGGTAGTTACAAATATTTTTGGTCTGCCTGTTCTCGCAGAATCGCACTGTTCGCAGTTCAGTTGAAGTACCAACGCGGATAGGCACCAATATCAAACCGGAGAACACACAAAACATTATCAATACATTTCTGATATTTCATTTTAAGATTGAACAAAATCACGATAGCTCAAGTGGTTAGAGCAGCGGCGTATGGAGCCGAAGGTCATGTGTTTGAATCCCGTTCGTGACACTAACTTTTCATCTCAATCAAGACATTACATAAAAAGAATAATTAATTGGAATAATTAATATGGTCAATCAGACCACGAAATATAAGGGATTGAACAAAATATTTGTTCTATGACATACTACGTCTCTCAGCTTGCAAAATTATTGAGCTTTATTCGATTTATCTAATTTTGAAGACACAATTGAATTTTATATTAATTTAGCTTTAATTTTTTTTTTTTTGGGGGGGGGAATCAGCGGAATTTCTATATTTATTTTATTGGTTCTTTTTTTTTAGGTTAAATTAATAAAGTGTTTTTGTTTTTTGTTGGAATTCAAGGTGAGGAAGCACATGGGACTTGCGGTAGAAGACGACGGGACGGATTCGCCCTCGCCTCCTCCTCTCCCACGTACTCCACCTCCACGGCATTCCTCGTGGCCGCCCTGCCCGAGGAGGAAGAAAAGGCAGTTCGACGTCGCCTCCCTCCTCGCCCCCGACCCGAGATCCGACGAAGAAGAAGAGCTCGACGTCGTCAACCCGGCACCCGCCCCGTGGCCCTACACCTCTTTCAACCAACACCTCATGGCTAGGTACTACCAGACACACTGTTAAGAGTTACCTTCAACCCCATCAAAGTAAAAAAACATAAAACAAATTATAACTATATGTTAAATAAACGACGTTCATACCAAATACGAGGAAAATTCCAATAATTGTAAATATTTTATTTATGTTGTAAAATACTAGAAATATTGTGCTATGTGAATATTTAAAATTTAAAACAAAAACTGTACATAATAGTTATATAAATTATATATTAATTATTACGAATATATAAAATACGTACAACCGAAATTCTTTGCATTTTCTTACTTTATTTTTTCCTCGAATACAACCTTTCAAATTCATTACTTGCCCTTATCTAAGAATGTTTTCCCAAAAAACATCATTGCAATATTTTAATAAAGATAAATTAACAAAGTACATGGCGTATCCTATGAACATTATAAAATTTAATAAATTTCAAAAATTGCTTGTTTTGTCAGATACGTCCTTATAGCACTTATGTAAGCTAAAAGCGATGCTACCATACTAGATTGTAGATTTAATTGACTAGCATTTCAGAGTCAAACAAGAAGACCCAATATTTAGAATTAAAAACAATAAATGCAGGATGCCACAAGGTAGGATACTAGGTCCACTGCTGTACTTTTTATACACCAGTGATTTTCCGAAAATAGATGGAGTAAAAATTGCAACATTCGCAGACGACACAGCGTTGATATCGGTAGAACCGATTTTCATCCATTCAACCAAAATCCTTCAAAAGTCTCGTAATAAAATAAACGAATGTACAAAAAAATTGAAAATCAAGTTCAATCAGCTTAAATACATATAAACAGTACATATAAACTTCACAAGCAAAAAAGTGGACCTTGATCCGTCTCTCACAATCGACTGAACTGTTATACCATACAGCGATGCAGTTACATATCTGGAAATGACCTTAGACTCCAAGCTGAGATGGAAAGAACATATGAAGAAACAAAAATGTCAAAAATAGGTTTAATGTAACTATATTAATTGATAAACCCTGTCTCCAACCTTAATACAGAAAATAAAATACTATTATACACACAAGTCCTAAAGCCTAAGAGGACATATGGTATTAAGTTGTCAGGTACGTCTTTACAGGACTGATGCGACCAGAACGGTATGTATATTTAAAGTCAAACAAGAAGACCCAATATTTAGAATTAAAAACAATAAATGCAGGAGTGCCACTAGGTCCACTGGTGCACTTGTTATACACCAGTGATTTTACGAAAATAGATGGAGTAAACACTGCAACGTTTGCAGATCACATAGCGGCGATATCAGTAGGACAGACCATCAACCATTCATCCAATATCCTTAAAAATACTTGTAGCAAGGACAAAAAGTGGAGGATCAGGCACAACCAGCGATAATGCTAAATCTTTGAGAATAATAATAAAAGCTAATTTGAGCATAAGTGTTTCAAAACATGCTTTCTCAGCAAAAGAGCATGACAGATCAAAACTTCGACGTTAAGCTCTATTACAGTTTTTTTACAACAAACGTACTATTTTATTTCGTAAATGTGTTCAATAACAAGGAAAACGTCTATTAAGACAATTTTTATATAATCTAGAATGGAAATTTTTTTTTTAATCCATAAAATTTAGCAGTATGTAGATATTATCAGGTCCTAGCCTAACTGACAGACTGTTTAGAGTCAAACAAAATGTTCAATATTGAAAATTAAAAACAATATATGCAGGAGTGCCACAAGGTAGAATATTAGGTCCACCTCTTACTTGTTATGCACCAGTGATTTTCCAAAAATAGATGGAATAAAAATTGCATCGTTTTCAGATGACGGTGATATCAGTAGGACCAACTATCAACCATTCAATCTTTTGGTTTTGCATCATGCAAAATGCTTGTAATAAGATAAGCGAATGGACAGCAAAAATTAAAATCAAGCTCAATCAGCTTAAATCAGTGCGTATAAACTTTACAAACAAAAAAGTGGACCATGTTCAGTCGCTCACAATATGTGGAACTATTATACCATTCAGCGATATAGCTAAATATCTGAGATCGTAGATGCCAAGCTGAGATGGAAAGAGTACAAACAAGTCCTAAAGCCTATATGGATACATGGTTATCCAACTATGGAGTAGTATCAAAAGCAGCAATATCAAAATGAAACAAACACTCCAAAATAAAATCGTATGTAATATGGTCAATGCACCTTGGTACGTAAGGAATAATTAGTTGCATAGGAATCTTAATATCCCTGATGTCCCGGTCATCTGATTGCCACAAACCAAACAGGAACTTATCTGTGAAGAATCCCCCATTTGTTCAAGTGTCCAAAAGAGATGCTGTTTTGCGGATTTTCTACTCGATGCCTCTCCAGTAATGCTAGAGACAATGAATGCTATTATGACGAGGCCTTTTGATGACTATTTGGAACTTACCCTTGGAGTTGTCCAACTAAGAGGATGTCGTTAAAAGTGTGGTAAGTCCAATAAAACGAACGTCTCTAGTAGTCGTATCACTACTCTTTCTTCGATCGAGACTTCCTGTAGTCCTAAAACGCTGAAGATAGTGGATGGTAGAACGCGGCACACACACAGGGGTTGGGCTATGTACCCGACGCTACTACTGTCATAGGCCTAAGCATCTGCCCGAGCAATTTTTTTCTGCTGTTGGAGCATCACCCCGCACCAAAGTGGACTAAGAATTAATATTGGCGTGGAAGTAACCATAATAGTAAGTTATTAGTGCTTTAGTTAATTCGGTGTAGCTAAAGATAAAAATATATTACAATTCAGGGATGCGTATTGAGTCCCACCATATTTTCTTTATTTCTTGATGATGTGGGAATCCGGAGGGTAAGGTGCGCATTGAAGGTAATAAAATCAAGATACTGACTGCAGATGATGCAGTCCTCGAAGCATACAATTCTATCACCTTACAGAGAAACTGCTTTCTTTGCCATCTAACCCCTAGCTATATGCTAGTTTTAGAACCTGAAACAAGACCCTTATTTTCGTATGGTCCCCAGGTTCACCTCAAATACGGCCAGAAAACACCACCGGACCACCGTTCATCAATAATCTCTGCTCTAGAAGTTAATAAAAAAAAAGACTGGTGCTGAAGGAGTGGATTTGTTTAACCCAAGAGTATTAATATTGTTTTTCGAACCTTTGAACGATATTTCTTGCAAATTCCTGTCGATTGGCCTGCCTGGCAAAGATATATACAGATGCAAGATTGTCAGATATACAGATGGGTTGTCTGTTATGATGACTGCGTCATCTGTAGAGATGGATAGACAGACAGATAGATAGCTAGCTAGCTAGATAGATAGATAGAGAGATAGAAAGAGAGATAGAAAGAGAGATAGATAGATAGATAGAGAGAGAGAGAGAGAGAGAGAGAAAGATAGAAAGCAGGAGAGAGTAATGATGGAAAAAAAAGAGAGAGAGAGTGAGTGATAAATGGTGTAAGAAAAAAGGGTATTGGTGGTAAGTGAGGGGCTCAATGAAAGAAGATTAAAAGGGGTTTCATATAAATGTATATTTAATGAAATTATTGTCCAAATATAATAATATGATGGGTGTATGTACCTGTCAACGATATAATACTTATTTATTTAGGGATTAACAGATTTGTGTAAAATATGGGGTGTAGCTGAAAAGAGAGATGGGGAGAGAGAGAGAGAGAGAGAGAGAGAGAGAGAGAGAGAGAGAGAGAGAGAGAGAAAGAGAGAGAGTTCCTCAACAGACATCTATTGAAATTTATGAATATGGTCTACATGTCAAAGGTGGTCACCACTGGCTAGAAAGAGCAACAGTAATGGATTAGAGACTGTTTCTCTGCACGAGCTCAACTTCCACTAGGTGGTGGGAAGAGGTGTTCGACTTATGTTACAGTTTTGAAAAACTGTAACGTTCTGGCACTTGTTTTGACATATTTATGTCGAATACAGCTTTTAGACACTACTCCTGGGTCCTTTTCTCCCGCTAGTGGCGGACCCACACATCGCCGTAGTCGAATTTACTCGTCGATAAGACATTCCCGAAGTCTTCTCCAAAATGGGAAATGGTCTTTACAAAGGCATGTGGAATCAAGAATGGTATAATTTGTTTTATCTCAATCCTACCACTCAAAACAACAAATCCATTACATTACAATAGATAGATAGGTAGATAAAGAAAGAGAGAGAGAGAGAGAGCGAGAGAATGTGAGAAAGTTGAGAGATGAAGAGCAGGAAAGAGCGGGAAAGAGAGACCATAGTCCATAATAGAGTTCAGTAATGATATCGATCAGACCTAATCCGTCTAGTGTTGCAATGACTCTGAGAGAGCCAATGTTTCTTTTAAACAACATGGGGTATTTAAATTTCAATACATCGCCAATCTCCTTACAAAAAATAAGATAACATGTCAGTGCGTAACACGAGTTTTTTAGCCTGCATTTTTAGTTTATTTAGAGAATTATTGGTCAAGAAAATCGATTCAACCTATGAAAAGCCCAATTTCTTTTCAAACCGGAACAATAACAGTTTCCGGAGCAGATGTCATCTTGTAAATAGGGTGTTAAAAGATTACCAGAGGAAGGCGCGCCGAGGCCAGGTAGTAAATTAAGAAAACTCGCCAAAGTGGAATGCTAAATTCTAACGAGATTCCGCTTAAAAGTTGCGATTCTTTGACATGGGAAGAAAGGCATGAGTATTTAAGGTTGGGGCGGGCACTTTCTGTAATCCGATTTGAGCTGGAGTAGTATCAGAGTTCACGGCTGCTTGACTCTGAGGCTCGAGAGCCGTCTGGAGAGCCATTGTGGCATCCCCATTGTGGCCAAACACCAACCCATTTACTACCCCTCGCATTTGTCAATCTGCTCTTTTCAACATCTATTGACCGACTTTTCTCCTTCCACCCGGATTGATGTTAGTCCATCAATAAATCCTTACCACAAGAAGAATTTTTTTACTATTTTCTATCAACCGAACTCTACCAGTAACGGAACGGTATAAATCTCAAAGAAACAGGTTTCTGAGTAGTATATTAATGTTAAAAAGTTATGCTCTCTCTTCAAGCGGTGGTCCTTCATATATGTACGTTAAATTGCCCAAAAGTAGATGAAAGATGACAAAATCGTTATTGTAACTGACAGCCAGCGTTAATAGCTATTACTTCTTATGAAATAAGTTCTAAACAC